GAGGGGGTTGTGGGGCAGGGAGGGGGTGTTGGGGACGGGGAGGAGCAGACGGGGAGCCGTGGGGTCGGTGTGGGGCAGGGAGGGAGCTGTGGGGCAGATGGGGAGCCGTGAGGTCGGTGTGGGGCAGGGAGTGTGGGAGAGTTATGGGGCAGGAGGGGGGTTGTGGTGCAGGGAGCCAAGAAGGGTTTGGGGTGGGTGGGGAGGGGAAATGATGGTGGTCGGGAAGGGGAAGGGGAGTGGGGTTGAGGGAGAGGGATCTGGGGCCTTGATGTGTCCTTTGCGTCAGGAGATGGTTATGGGGTTGGGGAGGGAGGAGATTGTGTAGGGCTTGGAGGAAGGGAAGTCGGACCAGGGGGGCCAGGGACTGTTCTTGGAGGACTGAGGTGGGACGGGGCAGTTGGGGTGCAGTTATTTTGGGTGGGAGCCCACGAGGGCTGAGCAGCTGCTGGTCTGTACGGGGTCTCCTGCCCTGCGAGGGGCAGCTGAAGTGTTTGGAAAAATACTTGTGTTTGTTGTTAAATAAATGGCGTTTGCTTGTTTTTTTCCAAAGACTGCCACCAAAGGAATAGCAGATCTCACTTTTTGTTCTGTTTCTGCTTTTTTGCTTTGAAATTTTCTCTGTTTTGGATGGGAAGCGCAACATTTTCTGAGCTGCTGACTCCCACGAGGGTTAAATGTTTCTGTCCCTAGAGCAGTTTACTCGACATAGATGAAAAATCTGGGTCTTCTGTTGAGGAAAGGACCTTCATAACCAGGAAACATCTTTCTGCTCTACTTGCTGCTGTGTAGGTCCATTCCTTTGGAATTCAGTGAACATGGGGCCATCGAATGGAGATGAGAAGGAGACGAGCGTAATCCTGATCAGCGATGATGAAGCCGAGAACACGCTTGGGAATTCTGTTGTGTTAGTAGATCCACTGGGTAAGTTCTGTGCTTTTGCTCTCTATGAAGTTCTGTAAAGAAACACTTGAAATAAACTGCAATAAAACCACGAAGCAACTTGGGTTGGAAGAGACTTCAGGATATCTCTAGTCCAACCTGTATTTCCAATGGAGCATTTGTTGTTATTTCCACAACGTAATTTTGAGGCTTAGAGTGGCAGAATACAGACAAAACCAAGCATACTTGTTCTCTCAAAGTCCATAAAAAGGAGCGTTATTTTATACCTTGAAATTTCTTCAATGGCACTAATTATGCTAAAGAATACTCCTGGATAGGTCCAAAAATATTACTAAGCTCTCCGAGAGTGGGCCTTTTCGGATGTTAATTGGATCTCTTTAGATTTTCTTTTTTGTGATAGATAGAGGATTTTATCTAAAGTCAATATAACTTTTTTATTGTAGGAACCTAACAGGTTCTCCTATTGTAGGAACCTCTTTTTTTATTGCAGGAATCTAACAAGATTCCTGCCTTGAAGCATTTCAAAAATAAACCTCAGTAGTTAGTTTAACTTGTGATGAAGCTGCTGTTGTTTTATTCTGATTTATACTGGATGTTTTCTTTTCTGCAGAGAAGACCGTTGTGGAAGAGGAGAAATCTGGCGAGGTTGTGGATGAAGAATGTGAACTAATGGTTACTTTCTGTAAACAAGCCAAAGTTATGCCTCATGCAAGATACGACTGTACAGTGCATCCATTTGAGTATGTTCAGGGATGTGGAGGAGAACACGGGAGGGAGGTTTCCACGTTTAGTCCTTTTTGCAGGAAATCCTGTTAGGATTTTAAGAACTGAAAGCAGAAGTAGAGCTGGATAGAGACGTAGCCTGTTCTGTAAATAATGTTTTGTTTTCGACTCTGTAGGCGAATGGAATGTGATACGTGTTCACCGCTTGGAAAAAATGCTGATATTTGTAATGAGTGTTACTGCTACATTTGTGATAAGCTAGCTTCTGAGGTAAGGAAAAGCTTTGGTGAGGAAATACACAACTTTGATTAAACCAAATTTGTCAAGAGTCTTTAGAAGAAATAATTCTTATGCACACCTAGAATAAGTATTGCATGAAGCTTTGATTAACTTAACAGTTCCATTCAAATGTTGATATCTGTCTGCTTCACAGTACGTTTTATTTAATCAGTGTCTTAGTTTTTTTCCTATTAATCTGATAAGTTGCTGAACAGAATTTTTGTTTGCTTGATACAAACAAATACAGCTCCTGTTTGAGGAACACTGTTTTTTCTGCAGTCTGTTTTAGTAATCCCATTTCTTTTCCCAGCAATAGCTAAAGGTTAAACTTTTAGATATTTTTCTACTCTTGTGAGAATAAAGTGCGGGAGGAGTTGTTGGGTAGTGGTGGGTTTTTTTGTTTGCTTGTTTGTTTTAAGAGTTAAGAAGTTTTTCAGCTGTGAAAGATATTGGTGGGAACACCTAAAAGCAGTGTTCTGATACAACCCACAACCTGGGAGGATGCCATCTCTAAGTGTCTATGTAAAGTGTTTGAGGGAAAAACGTGTGTTTTTACTTTTCAAGCCATGCTATCAAGGTACTGCCACATTGGCCTTCGGCCCTGGCTGCCAGAATACCTCAGTGTTTTTGCCTAGGCATGTGAAAGATGAAGTAATTTATAGACCTTCATTCAGAGAGGAACTAACTCTTGATTTGCTCAGCTGAAACAAACACTTTTCCTGTCTTTCGCTCTTTATGCAATAGTGCCAGAACTGGACGACCCCTTCCCTGTGTCATTGCAATGCCCACAACAAAAGCAAATTCTGGAAGGACCAGCGTGATTTCGCCTTGGCCGGTGTTCTTGTAATGTTCAATTTGGAGCTCTCAGACATAGACGCGGACCTCCGGCACGGTGGTAGGTGGTATTTATGCTCTCACATTGTCCTGAGAGAGCTGAGACCCAACAGCTGATGCTCTACAGGGAGGAATTGTTTGGTTCACAGCCCTCTTAGCTAAGGGTTGGTGATTATTTGGGTAGTAGCTTATTTCTGCTATCTCTTTCCTGGGCCATACACAAAACACAAATCTGCAGTTCCAGTCATGCATTTTCCTCCTTCAGGAAAGAGCAACCAAGTTTGCTGGGCTAATAAGATTGGACACATGTAACTTGCAAAATATTTTATGTAGGGTATGTGTGAATGATTGCCTGTTTCCTTGTGGCTTGAGGAAAACTTTTGCGCTAACAGTTTTGCATCTCCTCTGCCCACCTTTTTAGGAAGTCTTCTAATAAATTTTATCCATGAGCTTTCTGTGGAATATAATAAGTATTTGACTGGAGAAAGAATGCCTCCCAAACAACACGAATGCTTTTGTTTTCCAAAACTGCCACCTGGGCAATGCAGTATCTGTAAATCTCGCCATACGGAGGTTGTGTACAAGTAAGTAATGACAGAATTAAGTACTCAGCTGTTAGCAATGCATATTGGTCAGTGCAGGTTTGCTTTCCTTTAATCCAGTAATAATTGGAATCATAGCAATCTGCAATAGCAGAAACATAACTGAGACAATTTAGTCAGTGGATGGTTAGATTGCACTTGGATATAGTTTAAGCAATCCCTTAAATATTCAAATACATCACTTCTTCCTAATATTCCTCTTTATTATAGCTTAAGGAAATATGACACTAAAGTCCGTGTTTTTACTAGTCTGTTAGTACTGCATTCCTCTTTTAGTCCCACATGAGCCTTCAGGAAGTTTAAAGGAGAACTTGTGCTCACTATCTTCTAGATTTTTTCAAAGGAAAGCTGAGTCAACTTTCTTTCAAACTACAGAATGGTCATAATTGTCATTTGTTTACAAAGCGCATCATGGAGTGTTAATCTTTCTTAGGTATTCTGGAGTTTTTGCACTGGTAACGAGGTTTTTGAATCAGGCAGAAAGAGAAAATCCTAAAGCTGCTGCTGTCATGTTTCTGGGAGCAGCTAAAGAGATAGCACTTCATAAAGACCCTGCTTTGTAAGTATCCAGTTCCACAGCTAATGTGTCATCCTCATTTGCTTCCCTAGGGAATAAGCAAGGATGCTGGTTTTTCCTTTATTAAAGGAAAGGACACTGTAAAGGTCACAGCCCTGGTGGCAGCACAGTGAGAAGAGGAGGAGTATTGGTTACGAGGAGGGTTTGGGGGAAAAGCGAAGGGCAAAGGCTGGATGTGGGAGGAGGAGAGATGATGTCAGATGAGGAGAGGGAGCAGGGAGGGGACAACAAATGGTGGCAGGTGGGAATTGATTCCACAGAGAACAGATAGGGCCAGGGGAGCTTTCCTGAGATGATCACAGGCAAGCTGCGTTGTGCAGAGAACCATTGCTCCTGAATTTTAGAAAATTAGCATGTGCTGTTCCTCATTAGAGCCCTCCTGTAAACTTGCAGGACGCTGGCCTGTTTCAGTAGGAGGACACAAGGCTTACATAACTACAAAAAAACTTAAAATATTTCAGTCTTTGCTACTCGTTGACATCATGTGTGTGTGTTGTAATGCACATGAATGTTTCATGCTTGTTTACTGCCTACCCAGCAAGGTCCCAGAACTTTCCTTTTCAAAATCTAAATATTTGGGGGATTAAATTGAAGGGTATCTGCAAAGTAAATGTTTCTGACCTGTTAAACCAGCCCAGACCACAACAGCTTCTCTGCAGTTCTATTTCTGGGGAACTGTCAGAATTTGGAAGGAACAGGCTGGATGTATTGATTAAGTCTCTCTCCAAATGCTTTTCCGAGTCCCAGGGCATTTGCTGTAGTCAGATGGAGTGTGGTTAGAGCCTCGTGTGGGGTGATGCGACTCTTTGGGGCCCTGTACAGTCAAAAATGCACGTGTGGGTCCAGTGGAGCAAGGTTAGGTGCCTGCTAGTGGTTAGGTGGCTGCTGCTGCTGGTGGTTAGGTGGCTGCTGCACTGTGTTTGTGGTTGTGGGCTTGATATTCTCAGTAGTTTTACTAGTAAAACATAGTGTTAATTCTAGAATATAAAATGTGTTTTACAATTTAAGCATTTTTTATAGCCGTTTGGAATCATTTTTAGTGCTTTTTAAGCTCCTAGTGCTTCTTAAGAAAGTGTTTTTCTAAGCAGTTGACTATAGAGAAAGAAGAAAGGTAGGAAGAAGAGATAAGAATTAAATGGTGTATTTTTTGTGTGTGTTTCACTTATATTCTTAGAAACTGGCAGAACCTTGGTCAGACTGCTTCGCTGAAGATTGCTGTCCCTTGTCTGCTGCAAAGGTGAGACTTGTCTTCTCATATAAGGTGTCAAAGGGAACGTTGGTGGCTACAAACTTTCTGCCATGGAATTTGTACAAAATGCCATTCAAACAGCTCCTCTCCAAAGACATATAGAAAAAAAAAATGTTTTAGCTGTTAAAAGCCAAAAGGAAATTTGCACAGCTCCAGATTCAAGCTGTATAGTCCTATGTTTCTGTAGCACCAGAGCACCAAGCAAGGAGACCCTGCTCCTGGGGGTAGACTGCAGGTGAGTTGGGATGTGCAGAAGAATACAGAGCAACGACAGACTGCACCAGTCAACCCCACAGGTAGCAACCTTAGCATATTATAGTGCTTTACAAGCACACACTCCAAATCAGAATTTTTAGCAATTCTTTTGAATATTAGTCCATATTTTTTCCAAAGGGCAAGTGCAGTATCCGTCTTGTTTGCCCCGCGTAGACATTCAAACTCTTGGATCACTTTTAAACTGTAGCCTAGAAGTGGTTTTTTTTAGGCCAGACCAGAAGATGGTGTCAGATAGCTGCTTGCAGCTGTTAAACCTAAGACTATATTGTGTCTGCTTAGAGCCAAAACATCAGCCTTAGTTTGTCCCCCGCAAGGGGGGAGTAGTCGGGGATGTGGCATAGTAAAGTTCCCCCAGAGGCTAATGAATGAGGGCATCCAGCACATGGGGCTTAATTCATTTCTCATTTTAGCTTTATACTTCACCTTTAACCTGAAACTCACTTGCAACAGAAGATTAATGAAATAGGAATTAACTTTTTTTAGGAGCACTCAAAAACAATTATATATCCCACCTCCTATTTGAACTAATGATAGGTACAACCTAAATCCTGTATCAGTTTTCATTTTAAGTGTGACTACTTGTGAATTTATTAATTTCTTATTTTAAAAGAACAGAGAAGACAGGTTATGTAACTAGCTCATCAGATGCTGCTGCAGTAGTTTCTCACATGCACTCAGCTGGATCTTTGTCTTAAAGTGCAAGAACAAAGAGCCTCGGTTTCACTGATGTTTAAAAAAATTATAACCAAAACCAATCCTATTGTTCATGAATTTAAGATTAGTTCTAAAATCTCTACCTGAAATATTAAAATAATCCTGTGGTCTGTTTTCTCATGTGTTTGGAGGGTAAAAAGGAGAAAAACTCAAGTCTAGTAAATGATTCATCTGCTTTTAAAAGACTTTCACCCAATTTCTCAAGGATCTAACTCTTTTCTTTTCAAAACACAGGATCACGACACAACTTCAAAGGATGCTGGTGTTATGTGACTTCCCAAAAAGCTTGTATGAAAAGTTTGTTAACTTTTTTCAGTCCATATCGCTTCCATGTCACTGTTTTGGCTTCTCAAATAGGTATGTTTGTTCTTTTTAGAAAATGTTTTTATACAGTTGCCTGACTTGAATACAGCTGTAGAGAAAAGTTCTTTCACTGATGGTACTAGATATCCATGTTGTTATAGGAAGATTTTATTTGCCATTTTCTACCTGACCTGTTTTTACCGTAACGGAAAATTGTTGTGTAATGTGTTGGCTAAGCTGTTGTCCATACAACTGTTTTTCAGCAAGTAAACTCTCAATTTCAAAATACTTTATTAGAAAAATAATCATGTTACTCAAAGAAAATGAATTAGTGTACCAGTGAAGTGCATTAAGAATGGCTTTTTTTTGTCTTCCAGCTTAAATGTTGTACCATGGGACCATGGATTACTGACCACTGTTTTAAAAGGCCAGAACATTACTGGCCAAAGAACACAGAAAGGAAGAAAAGTATTTCTTTGGGAAACACTCCCTGTTATACAGGCTCGAGTGGAGAAATTGATAGATAAAGCAAAGTAAGATTCGTTTGGTCATGTTTTGGATTTTTCATTTCATAAGATTAAATTTTATGTTTTGCATAGTAGTGACTGCAGTACAGTGTTCCCATTCTGCAAAAGTTACGCGTTATAGGGAAACATAAAAAGTGAAGACATTCAAAGTGTCTCATAACAATTACTAGTTATAAACAAGTCTGTCTTTTTTTTAATGCTTCCAAATCAGAAACAAGACAACTACTTTGTTCACATAACCTCAGTTGTTCTTAGGTGATGACATATAAAGGAAATCCTCTTGATCAAAGTTTGACTAGGTAGAAGGTAGCAAAAAGCCTACACTGGCCTCTCTTTAAGAGTGAATACAAGCCATTTAATTAAATAGGAGGCAACCTCGTTTTGTATTTTGCCAGAATACATAGGTTGCCAGAGCTATATAAACCATGCCATATAAGCAGAGCTATATAAAGCAGTATTGGTACAACAGAAAGAAGTCTCATCTGATCAGTTCACTACCTTGCCAGTCACTGAAGACTTTTTCCCCAGGTAATTTTGTTTCAAGTGCTAAATCACACAAGTTTCTTAAAAATAACTCCAAGGTAAAAGAACGTGCAAGAAAACTGTATATTAGTGTCCTTTAAATGATTATGGTTTCTTGCTGCTTTGTGGTATAGAGTCATGTCAAACTGGGGCTTCATCCAGGTCATCTTCTCTTAAGCTATTGTAAAAGTAGTTGTGTTTGAGTGTAAGTATGAAAAAAATTTGTAGCAATAGGTGTATCTTTGCCCAGAGATTTTTGCTGCTCTTGGTTTGTTCAGAAAATGGCACAAAGGCAGTTTGAATTTACAACACTTCCATTTTGCATTTGCATCCAATTGTCTTTTTTATTTCTATATTAGTGCTGCTATATCTTCCACGCAGGAAGAACTTCTGTTTGTTTTACTAATTGTAGTAAATATTGGGTGAATCTGTACCCAGCTTAGTGCTTCCCTTCTCTCTGCTCTCCACCCCCAGCTATAAAGAAGTTGTTCGCTACCTGAGAGCTGTGAAATGCAATGATAGTCAAGGGTAAGTGGGTTTTTTATTTCTTCGCCTTCAGATTATGTCCCAGTCTGTTTTAACCTACAGTAGAGTGGCAGAATGAAAAGCAGCAAGATATTGCTTATTTGCTTACAGAAAGTAATATTGCCTTGCAAACACCTTCTGCCTTATCAGATGTAGTTTCTTTTTAGTTAAGTGTAGCTGGATACTAGGTGTAAAACTTCTGTGCTAACAAAAATCAAATGATTGTTTTTCTTCCTTCCAGGTTAAGAGACCTTAGAGATAAAATCCCGTTTTATCTGTGTAAAACTGGGGACTTCCTTGATGCTGCACATTCCCTGTTGTTTCCAGTCAACAGCCTTGCGTGCTGCACTGCCTGCCGACTAACGCCACTGCAGTTTGAAAACTACCTAAAGATGTTCAGAACAGGCAGTGTCCCCAGTGGAAAGGATTTTCAAGACTCTGGGTCCTGGATTACAGTTGGCAAGCACAGCTTTTTGCTTTCATATGCTTAGAACCTTCCTTAACTGCAGCTTTTACTTTCTTACTAAATTTACTTTCATTCTAAGGGACTCTGAATTCAGCAGTAAGTTTGCCCAGAAGATGTATTCTGAAGTAAAAGATTTATTTTGGAGAAGCTGTCCAATTACTCGAATAATTGTTAAAAGTGTGAGAGTGGTAGTGTTTACCACACTGTACCATGATATGATAAACACAATGAACATTTTATTCTGGGTCATCTGCTGTGGTGACTTAGACTGAAATGTATTTAGTCCTTTTTGAAGCTTTCTAGAATAACATTTTACAGTTGATGCAGGCTCTGTATAGGAAAGCTGCAGACTTTTTTTTTTTTTAGATTTGTGTAGAAGTCTATCTGATAAAGTAATATATCCTGGTTTTATTTATGAACTGTACTTACCTGGGGGATAAAAAACATGTTTGTGTGGGGTTTTTTGTTTGTTTTTTCTTGCAGGACCTCCTTTGAAAGATGGTGTTCTAATTAAGCAGGCACTCAAGCTGCTTTACAGCAATCTCTTGCTATACAGAAATGTGAGTTTGTATTAAAATTGTTTCTGTGGCCTACTGACCGTTTCTGTACGTCTGCTTTGTCCAAACATATTACTTCTCTAACACAGAATTTACTATCAGCAGTTAGGCTTTTTACATAGTTCACACTTTCCCAAAGCTTTTTTTTTTTGCTTATAGGTGTGTTTGGCTTTAGGGGTGGTGGTTTTTGTTTGTTTCTGCTTGTTTGAGAGAAGGAAAAAACAAACAAACACAAAAAGCCCTATTTATTACTCTTTTACCAAGTATCATGTCTTCAGTCCCATTTTCCCAGCTGCAGACCTTGCAGTTCATGGCTCCTGTCTCCAGGTGCTATGATGTCCTTACCACAAAGCAGGTGCAGCTCTTGAGCTGTGTAAATTGTCCACTGACTCAGCTGGAGCCTCCCTGATA